ATCTAGTATGAACTACAAATTTTAAAAGACAACAAAAAGTTTTAGTTAATGATTTTAGCAGAAAAGGTATGTTAGACAAGGTTTTTACTGCTAACTCTCAGCCCCCTCCTCCTGAATGTTAAACCTTTGTCACCTCCCCTCCTTGCCAAGTTCGTGTCCTTATAAGCTTTTGATACACTGTAAACTGGTTTTCTTTGTATGATTTGTAAGTATCATAAAAGTGTTGTGCTTAATAATGTTTCAATACAATAAAGATAGTGTTCCTGTTTTTTTAAAGATGTACAATTTGATTATCAGATTTTCCAACCATGCTGGAAGACAAACAGTTGATGGCTGAAGTACTGGAATACAAGTGGATTGAAGAGTAAGTATATATATATTTATTTATCGTCATAAGTTTTACTATTTATATAAAAAATGTACCAGAAATAGAAGAATAAATAGTAAAACTTATGATGATAAAGAGTCTTCTACTTCTGGTACATTTTTATATAAATAGTAAAACTTATGACGATAAAGAGATAAAGAGTCTTCTACTTCTGGTACATTTTTATCATCATAAGTTTTACTCAAGTTATGACGTGAGGAGCAGATGTCAGTAAATAACTCAACAAAGATTAACATAATAGTAATGCAGAAAAAAAACAACTGAAAATACAGTCAATCATAAACATAAACCATACTAAATAACATTTAAATAAGTTTTTTTTATTACTGATCAAAGTTTACTTACTCCATATTGTGTAAAACTTCCCAACATCCCTTCCATTAAACTCGGTATATTTCCCTGGTAAGGCATTGATGTACGTTTGTCTGTGAATCTTACCTGGATAATCAAGCACAAGACTCACATTAATAAGAAACACGTACGTATACTTATGACAAGGAATTTGAACACCAACCAAATAACTTTGAAGTCCAAATTTTCAATTACTGTAACTAGTTCTTCTTGCAAGTTTTCGACACTAATGTCATACAATTTTTCAGAAGCTAAGTATACCATAATGAATAACCACAGAGTTATATTAGGGTTCATATATCTTTTTAACCTAAATATTGTATTTCAAAGGTTAAGAAAATACAATTGAGTTACTCTGTACTGGTGAGTTGAGAAAAAGAACAACAAAATTTCCAATTATGGTGAACCAAGTACACAAAAAATGATCGTTTCATTACTTTTCTAAAAGAGCTAAAACTATTAAAACATTTGATCGGTTAACACCTGATGAGGAAAGTTAAAAATAGAATCTTACGAATAAAAAAACTTGAAACAACCAGGCAACAGTAGAGAATTACGTCTTAACAGTTAAAATAAACAACATGTTCAGTGTCCACCGAATCCTCGGCTACATTTATTTCTTTTAAACACTCACACTCTGGGACGTTAGCCGTATACAATTTTAAGCTGTAAGAGATAACTGATTGGAGCATACGTAAAATGTACAGCAAGTATGTTTGTTTATATCGGTGCTGGCATCAATCTGCTATAAGATGACAGACATCGGTATTTTTGTTTAAAGATACATGTTAACACGCCGTAATCAGATCTGGATATATTTGTTTTACACCAAGATGTATTTGTTTATTAAAAAATAGCAGACTTAACATCTGGTAAAGATATTAATAGGTCAACTTACTTGGTGGCTGGACAATTTTCTTGTCCCTGTTAAAAGGAAATCAAGAGATGAATAAAATAAGTAATCTTATATGAATTTAGATTATCTTGTCTGTTTTTTACAAAGACTGTTCATGGTCACTTCTATTTGTACAAGTACAAAGGTTTAATACAGACATTCCCAACCTGGGGTACATTTGCACTTCTCAGGGGGTACATAGGGGCCTGAGAGTATAACCATGGTTTACACTTTACACGGTGTTTTAATCTACAGTTAGACAAAGTGGTTCACATAAATATACGCCGAGTTCAATTTATCGGTGTTATCAATACTATAAGATCCTTATGCAGTCCACACATACAGATATCATAATAAAATAATATAAAATCAATATAATTTTATCAATTTTTGATCCTTAATTGTTAGGGGTACATGGGAACCTGTCAGAATGCCCAAGGCCAAGGGGTACAGAGGAACAAAAAGGTTGGGAATCCCTGGTCTAATATTAATTTCTGTTATTTTAGTATAAATGTTTCTTAGTAGCTTCTGTTGTTTTAGAACAGAGATTTCTTACAAAATCTGTGCATTTCAGGACACATCTTAGTTATGTATGTTTCAGTAAAGTTCTATTGTCGAAACAACGAAGTCAATTTGGCAACTTGAAAGAACCTAAATCGTGATTTTTTTAGCGATTTTCTGAATCAATGCGAGTATGCAATTATCAGTCAAGTGGCCATGAGTTTTTGCAAACAGCCATCAATATGATGGCTGGCTGACTGGCTATGTCTCTAATATTTTTACAGGATATATTTCTTGGCACTTTATTAGCTTCACTTGCTTTAAGAAAATTGTATCTATTTTACTACAGAGTAGCAAGAAACAATTTTTGTTGTGAAAATAATCTTAAAAGCGTAATACAAATAATATTCAGATATAAGAAAAAATCACATGTTATTTTGAAACATGGTTAGAAGTCAGATTAAATAATTAAAGTTGCACTGGAGAATTTTATTACAAGTTTCTTCATTATATATTTCAAGCCCTCTTTATACTTTACTATGTTAGCATCTAGTAAGCTTGTTCGGTTAACAACAGAAATATTTTGTCTTCTACTTCTGTTACTTTTATATCCAAAGAGATAGAACTTTGTAAACTCTCTTCCAGAAATAGGATTTTAACCCTGTTTCTCTCAGAAAGGGAAGAGTTTCGAGTAATGGTTGTCTCGGAGAATAGAGCTTTAGTTGATGGTTGTCTCAGAGAGGAGATCTTCAGATAATGGTTGTCTCAGAGAAGAGAGCTTCAGATAATGGTTGTCTCAGAGAAGAGAGTTTCAGATAATGGTTGTCTCAGTGAATAGTGCTTCAGATAATGGTAATCTCAGAGAGGAGAGTTTCAGATAATGGTTGTCTCAGTGAATAGTGCTTCAGATAATGGTTGTCTCAGAGAGGAGAGTTTCAGATAATGGTTGTCTCAGTGAAGAGTGCTTCAGATAATGGTTGTCTCAGAGAGGAGAGCTTCAGATGATGAGGGAAGAATACCTAAGTGTGTCCAACTTCATATATTTATACATTATGTAATGTTTTAATTGAGTTTAACACCTCAATTATTTAATATAATGAGTAGCTTAATCTTTGGGTTTACATACAGATATATTTTAAAAAGAGGTTTAACTGTTTAATACACTTATAGAAAAAATATTGTATATTTTTTTAAATTTACAGGACACTACCAGGATAACCACATTTGACTTGTTGATTCCAGATTAACTTGTTAATTTTTATATACTCTTAGAAACTTTGTTTTCATCCACAAGTAAAATTTTCTATAAAAAACAAACTTTGAAGCTTAGAATTTAAAATCATTATTTACATTCTCTCCTTTTGATGACTCAGCAGTTAGCTTGAAATCTTATAATGCAAGAATTTGGGGCTCAATCCCACAGATAGCCCATCGGTGCTGATTCGTGTTAGGTGTAAAAAAACAGTCTTTCTTTAATTGTTTGACTTGTGCTGATTCGTGTTAGGTGTAAAAAAACAGTCTTTCTTTAATTGTTTGACTTGTGCTGATTCGTGTTAGGTGTAAAAAAACAGTCTTTCTTTAATTGTTTGACTTGTGCTGATTCGTGTT